GAGTACCCAGAGGAAACCCCACGATGACACAGGGGGGGGGGGGGACTGGAATTCGATGATATGGGGAGAACATGCAAACTACACACATGTAGCCATGGCGGAGACCTGAAGCCCAGTCCCCGAGGTGTGTGGCCCCCTTGCTACCCACTAAGCCATGGCGAACTACCTCCTGTATAATTAACCTCCCCTGACAACCTTACACCAAAAACCGGGGGCCTCTTAAAGTGAAAGGGCTGCTTCTCTGTCACCGCCACACAAATAATGTCAACATCAAAGGTCATGCAGGCGGCCTGTTTTAAGGGGGAAAGAAAAGAAAAGTTAGTCAAAAGGGAAGACACAACACAGGAATATCCGAAATCTGTGACAAGATAAAATATATAATATATATATATATATATATATCAGTTCAAATTTAAACTCACGTGAAATAGCTTCTCCGTTTTAGGATACACTGCCACTATATCATAGGATTTTAACTCTGAAGTGGGTCTCTGTAACGACATTGCACTTATAAACAAATAATCGAACTATGAGAAACACTGTGTACATATGAATATCACATACTTACAAAGTGAGATGCGTCAGAGACCATTAGCGTCAGCCGGTTTAACACTTTGATTGGTTTTGACGTACCCTAAACAAATTTTTAAAAATGGGTCAATGCTACAGAGCACTGCTAAAAATACTTAATGTGGTATAAACAAAATATTATATTACCTGTACAATAGGAAACTGGTCGAACAAATCGGAAACACATTTTGGCTTCGCAATTTCCTGAAAATATTAAGCGGATAGTCAGTAAACACCGATGTAGAAATCTTATTTGGCTAACCTGTTTTCAATCAGAAACACAACTGAGTGTCATTCATAGTTAGGGTGACCAGATAATCTATGCCATGGAGGACACTTTCAGCTAATTCAGGTTTACCTTTAATAGTTTAAACTATTTAGCCAAGCACAGGAGCCTTTAAGTTTTTGCATTTTGACAGAGTGTGACATTATCGGTCTTCGAATACAGCACCTGAATTCTGACACAGCCGCGGATTATCTGATTCATAGCGTTAATCACTAATACAAACCAGTGATGATCGTATTTCACCATTACGTTCGTATTAAAATGGGAACAAAGTACCTGGTACAAAAACGTTCATCTTCACAGCAAATCCATTCACGCTGAAACTATAATGAAAATCATTTACCTGCTTTTTTGGTTGGATCTCAACGAGGTGATTTATGGCAACGGTAGAATAGCCAACTAGAAAACAAAAACACTTTAAATAACTATAACACTTTTAACCACTTTAAGATTGGCAGTTGACTACATACAACGCAGTTAGGTGCAACTGAATATAAAGAATTTTTACGTTTGAATTAATAGGAAGTTAAAATGTATACCCTCTGCTAAACATGCTTGCTAAATACGTACAATAATATACTACAAATACTACAACACAATTCGATAAAAAAAAAGGCAAGTGTGATACTATAATAATAAAAAGAAACACGTTAAACTGTCAAATGGCAAATATTAATAAAATAGTTACGTCATTGCTAGACGAACTACAAACCAGGCTGCCAAGACAACGCAAAGAAACGAAGGCAGAAAACACTCTTTTCCTACTAAAACTGTTAAACACAATTGTTAAGTCATACTCACGATGAGCCGCCGTTTCAATAAGGCTCTGCAGCTTCTTCTTATCATTTGTGTTACTAATGTTTAAATCCGCGAACGCAACCATGTTTGAACATGTGCCGCATCGAATTCAGAAGAGGCTTATGGGACTTGTAGTCAATACCTCATACCGCTACCATGAGCCTTTGCGATAATGCTTGCCAGCCGATTGGTCAAATTTAAAAATAAGACCGCGGCACATCGGTCTTCCTAAGGGACAGTGTGGCTGCTTTTCATTTTTCTCTTTTTTTCTATGTCGCAAGAATTGGGTAAAATATTGGTAGACGTTAATTTTGGCAGTGGTTAAGGGATCTCTGCAACGTAAGTTTTCCCTGTTTGTCTTTCTTTCATTGTGGCTTGCAGTCCGTTAAAATGAAAGCAACCTTGAGCTGTTGTATAAGGTTAGCTAAGGGTAACTAAATGGTGGCTGGTAGCTAACTGGCCTGGTCTTTAAAAGAGCTACACAGCAGTCCTATTTAGAGTTTCTTTTAAGAAGCTTTTCAAGAAGTAAAATATTGAACTCAAGGAACAGCAGTTACTCGGTCACCACGCTCTTAAATCGTTGTTTTGATTTATATGTGTCGGTTGACGCTCTTGTTTATTGTATAGGACTGCATCTGACAAAGTGGTGTCGGTGTCGTGGTTAATCTGAGCCTGTCAAAGGCGCAGCCAGCAGGCTTCGCCGTCCATCAGGTATATCGGTTTTACCCCGTCAAGCATGATGGAATCCTGTTTGAGCCTGAAACCGGAACGAGCGGAGTCCGTGGTTGTGGAGGATCTGAAGAAGGACCTGTTGGCCGACTTCTCCGCTATACCTTCTGGTGTGACAGAGGTGAGCTGTCGGCAGGGCAGGAGCTAGACATTATGGACCTCCTGATAAAACGTCACCTTGAGGCCCCGGTACCCCTTACATTATACAGTTTTTCGTATTCTAGGGCCCCTGTAATGTGCTAGGCCCCCTGAATCTGTCAGGGTACCTAAGGCTGTCGGGGGTCTGTTTACAGAACTGCATTTTGTTTTGAGGACGCCATATACTCTGCTGAGTTAATGGTAACTGATTGTTTATCATGTTTCATTAAGGTTGTCCAATGTATAGCTTTTTATTATTATTTTTTGTTACATATTAGCTGTTAAAACTATTGTTGTGAACTTTTTGGTTTGTTTTAATTTCCACTTTGCGATTTTTCCATTTAGAGGTATTTTATTTATGTGTGTTTGATGGTGTATGTTTGTTCTTTTTGTTTTGGCAGCACATTTACCAAGCTCAAATCATAATGATGCTTGGTCCACTGTGACAACTGCTCATGCAAGCAATAGACCGTGAAATTTGACTGTTTCTAGAGCAGTATCTCATTAGTTTTGACCGTTTTTGTAAATTTTATAAATGGCCCTAAGTTACGAAGGTGTGTGTGCGTATATAATTGATATATGTATGCTGTATATTTTGTGAAATTCACAACAGTTTTGGATTTATCGTTGTTTAGGTTTGGTTTATTTTAGATTCAGTAAAGTTGATTCTGCTGTCAGAATACCTGGTAATTTTATTTTTTTCTTTCTTCTCCCCAATCTGGCAAACTTCAGAAAGAACATTTGCAGGTTTACCTTCGGGTCCGTCCGTTTACGTCTGCGGAGCTTGACAGTGGTGAATCACAGGTAAAGCAAAATTGGGTTTGCAATGGACCTCTTTACATAGGGAATCGAGGGGGAAATTATTTTCATAGTGCAGGATTTAAGTGGGTAAACACCACCTTTAATACCTTATGAGGGTGGCATTTGTAAACATACTTGTGAGGTCTCCAGGGGAGATGCCAATTTTAGGCTTGTTACATTGGACGTGCATTGCTTTTTCCAAAGAGCAAATGAGATTCAGATGTCACTCTAAGATGTCACTTAGAGTGAGATGTCACTCTCACACATCCTCTGCCTTCTCACCGGACCTGCAGGAATGTGTCAAGATCGAACTCCCAGACACCGTTTTATATAAGGCTCCAAGACCGTCCCTGTCTGCACGGTTAAGTGATAAGTCTGTTTCTCAGACTGCTCAGAGATTTCAGTTCTCACAGGTGAGCTTTTCCATGTGCAATGACATAATCTCGAGGCTAGAAGTAGCTGGTCAGTTCGTCTCTACTAGTGTCTGTGTGTTTGTGTATTTGGCACCTTTACTTTATTCTTCAGGTCTTTGGTCCAGAAACAACACAGAAGGAGATATTTGATGGCACAGTTAAAGGTCTCGTCAAAAATGTTCTTGAAGGTGGAAACACTCTGGTGTTCACATATGGAGTTACCAATGCTGGGAAGACCTTCACATTTTTAGGTTTGTGTCTCATGTCGGATGGGGAAAAATTCTCCTCCTGCTTGTTACTAAACCTGGATTTATGTTAAACTGCATATTTGGGCCGCTTCTGCTAATAGTGACTTCTCCGTAGACAGGTTTTGAAAGTCACCTGGAATCTGCTTTTTGTAATCTAAACATCAAAATAAGAAAAAAAAATCCAGTGAATGAACTCCTTTTAGGTTCCGATTCGGATGGTGGAATTCTGCCAAGGTCTTTGAACTTGATCTTCAGCAGCATCGAAGAACGCATCTACACGCAGATGAACATCAAGCCTCATCGATGTCGAGAATTTACAAGGCTGACTAAAGACCAGCAGGATGAAGAAACTGCAAACAAAAGAAATATTATGAGGTTTTTCAAAGAGGTTGGTCTTGGTTTTCTCCCCGGATATCAGTTATTGGATTATGTAAAGAGAAAATGGCTTTTTGTGGATTAATTTTTCCCCCTTCATTGTCCTAGAGTGAGTGCCAGAAAAGCATGACCAGCCAGCAGAGTACCTGCAGAGCAACCCTGCTTGAAGGTGAAGGAATTCTTTTCCTCTAGACCCTAATGTTGTTTCAGTATAACCTTACTACTATTTAAAAAAATTTTTGTACTGTAATTTCAGGTATTATGTGCATATTTGTGTGTGTGAAAGAGACTATATCGCTTTTCTGAAAATGTTTTCTATCCCTTAAATTGTTGCTTGTTGATTTTTGGTTACTTTTATCATTTTTGAATTTTTAATATTTATAGGATCGACAACGAGCAACACTGGTGTATTTGCGGAGGAGAATAGCTTCAGTCTGGATGTGGACAGTCACACAAAGTTTTCAGTCTGGGTTTCTTTTTGTGAAATCTATAATGAAAACATCCATGACTTGCTCGAGCCTGTTTCGGGCAGTTCAATGAAGAGGAGTATGTTACGCCTGTCTCAGGATGTCAAGGGCAATTCTTTTGTGAAAGGTAACATGCTCCATGTATGCATGTTTTGGATGCATTACGTAATAATGTTTTAAATTTTTTTTTTTTTTTTCCCTTTTTTGGACTAATTTTCCTTAAGATCTCAAGTGGATTCAAGTAAATGATGCAGACGAAGCCTACAGAGTCTTAAAACTTGGCAAGAAGAATCAGAGCTTCTCCTGTACGAAACTCAACAACCTTTCGAGCAGAAGGTATGGATAAAGAGACATTCTATAACAGGGGTGGCTACTCTTATCCGCAAAGGGCCAGTGTGTATGCAGGTTTTTGGGATAACCTTTAGTTCAGCTGTTCAAACCCAGGTGTGAGGACTCTTCAACCAACCAGTCCTCTAATTAGTAATCTGGTTGGGGAGTTGCAATGAAAACCTGCATGCCCAATGGCCTTTTCTGGATGAGATTGCCCACCCCAGTTCTATAACATGAAATGCATTTGTTTGTTTAATAATTAACAAACTGATGTTGTGATTTGTATTAATTTCCAGTCACTGCATATTCTCCATTCGGCTGATTCGCATAGAAGACGTGGGGATTCCCCGTGTCCATACAATCAGCGAGTAAGTTTTCACACCTCTCGGCTGCAGCGTGCATGTTTGACTTTGGGAATTCATGGTTTCCTACCAAGTGTGACTAGATCAGGCCTCCCACTTCTACCCCAAGCAGCCTCCTGTGACCTCAACCTAGCTACAGCATATAATTCATTGTAATTTACCTTTGCAGTTGCTTGAATCTCACAGTTACAGATGTTTCTCTGTGTTTATTTCTTTTAGGTTATCACTGTGTGATTTAGCAGGTTCAGAGAGATGCGGCAAGACCCATAATAAAGGTGATCGCTTGAAAGAGGCCGGCAACATCAACACTTCGCTGCTGATTCTCGGAAAATGCATTAATGCATTAAGGCGCAACCAACAATCAAAGTATGTTGTGTGTGTGTGTGTGTGTGTGTGTGTGTGTGTGTCAACAATAACTGACGTTTCAGTGGAGAGTCTTGATCTGTACCTCGGTGATATTGGTCATGACAGAAGATTCATATTGACGCTCTGTTGAAATGAAGACCTCTGAGAGAGCAGGCCTCTAACAAATATCTACTATAAATATAAAATCCCACAAGTGACCTACTAGATGGCTTCATCAACTTTTGGCTCCTGCAAAGGTAAATGAAGGATTCCTTTGCAGATTCCAGCAGCACGTCCCCTTCAGAGAGAGCAAGCTAACCCAGTACCTGCAGGGCTTCTTCTGTGGCAGGGGAAAAACCTGCATGATTGTCAACGTCAACCAGTGTGCCTCCATGTTCGATGAGACCCTGAATGTCCTGAAGTTTTCTGCTGTCGCTCAGAAGGTAGGAGGTTGTCTGACTCTCATCGGTGTGGCCATGATGGTACGCTGACCGTCTCAAAACCTTAAACAACCTTTTGCTGTGCAGGTGGTCGTCCTCAACACCAAGCCTCTCCCCGTCGTTCCCAAGAAGTCTGTGAGGGAGGTATCGTTCATCATCGATAGTGCTGACCAAAGGAACCTGTGGGCCAAGCGGAAGAGTTCTTTAGTTGGCTGGGAGAGGAGTTTGGAGGATGTCCAAGAAGATGATGATGATGGTGGTGGTGGTGATGAGGATGATGATGCTGGTGGTGATGAGGAAAGCTACGCCGAGAGTATGATGGAAGACACTATTCAAGAAGCAGATGAGACAGAAATTGAAAGGGAAACGTACAGCGTGAGTGGGACTTGTAGCATTGACGTACCTCTAGATGTTGTCGTCGTCGTCGTCGTGCTTTCTAGTAAAATAAGAAAATGTACTAAGAACCCCGTAATTGTTTTTCCAGAAGTTGGTGTCTCTGACACAGGAACTGCAGGCAAAGCTTTGTAAAGCAGAATCTGAGAAACTGACGCTAGAGATATGTATTCGTGAAGAGGTCACCAAAGAGTTCATGGAGTTATTTTCCAATATGGAAAAGGATTACAAGTAAGACTGTGGTTCTTGATGTTCAGTTATGGAAAGAATGGGAGAAATTTTCAGAGTAATGCGCCTGTTTTTGTGTTGCTATTTTAGCGAGCGTCTCTTGAAAGAAAAGGAGATCATAGAGGAAAGGGCTGAGAAACGGATGGAAATTTGGAAGACCTTGGTGAACAGAATTGCTGGTGAAGAGTCAAAGGTACGAAGTCAATAGAGATGGCAAGAGGCCTTGCAGCGCATTCATGCTTGTAACCAGTGTTAGCTTTCATTGCTCCTAACATGACCTGTGTTGTTTTTAGGAGGATAAGCTGGTTTCCATGGACGAGATAATCGAGACTATGCAGGATGACCTGGCTAAAATTAAGAGGGATGCAGAGGCAGCCCATGTATGTCTCAGTTTGCCTGATCCGAGCAGCACTGTCGCCAGTCTGGAGAAACGGCTCGCCGACCTGTCGGAGGAACTTCTGAAAACGCAAGAGCTCCTCACTTTCAAATCGAATGGTATTTTGGAAGCGTGTGTCTGAGAGAATGAAAGCATGCTACCTATTCAGTAAGGTTCTGCTTTTATGGTTCTAGTTAATGTTAAATCTGCTTATCTTCAGAAACGCAGCAGACTTGTGACCAGCTAGATGAAACGAAGAGGGTAGGACTTTCTTCTCGCAAATCAAATTTTGTTGCCTGGAAGAATGTTCTGCTACATTATTATGCCATGATTTTGAATTTTTTTTTTTAATTGTACCAGAATCTGGAGGCCAAGACTCTGAAGTTTCAGGAGCTGATGGAGATCTGTCAAGAGAAGGATGATATGATCACCAAGTTACAAACCGCTATGGACCAGCATGTTGAAACAATCACGAATGGCGTAAGTGATTTTATTTTTTAAACAGTTTGCCTGAAAACTCTTTATACCTGTGTCCTATTTATGGGTTGGAATAAGATGTTTATAGGTTTGTCCAAGAAGCTAAAGTGCCCCCCCTCGATTAAATTTTTTTTCATAGGGTTTTGGGCAGGCAGAACTTTTAATGTGGGGGCAAGTATGGGAAGGCTATGCAGCATTTGCAGCTAATTTGATGCTAATTCTATTCTTCTGGCAGAGGATCTTTATTGATGATATCAAGGAGGAAATGCTGCAGCTGCAGAAGAACTGCAGGTGTTTAAATCGAGAAGGTGAGAGCTCCCAGAAAGAGGGCAAGAAGAGGTCAGGGAACTTCCCAACGGACCTCGACGGAGAGCCGCCCCTCAAGAAAGGTACAAGCTTCATTCAGAGTGATGAGAAAAGGCTGCCGCCATTTGTAGCATCTAGAGCAGGCAACACAAAGGCTGTACTCAAAGGGCGCAAATTTTTTCGCTTGAAAAAAAGGTTATCTGTCTTGCAGAAGTAGCTTTCTTATGGCTTTGTATTATGTTTCTGGGTTTTTTAAAAATGTTATTGTTAATATGCATATTAAATGTAATGCTTCCTTTTATGTTTTGTTGTTGTCTTCCAAGATGTCCCAAGTACTATTCCAACACATTCTTGGCTGGCCGAGTTAAAAGTCCATGGGCGTTTATTTATTTTTTTTGTCTGGATATGTTTTTATATAAGAAGGGGGGGGGGGGGGGGAATAACTCCCATGTTCTTGATGTTTCTCTAACTTATTCAAATGCTATATCACTTTAATAAAAAAAAAATACATTTTAAACTGTTGGTTCATAGTGGTCTTCAGGATCCTTCAAAGACTTTGGGTAATAAAATGAAACCCAATCACACACAGCCTCTGGTGTTTGATAACTTTAGAGTCTTCCTTTGTCAAGGAATAAGTGTGATGTAAACAGACCAAATTTAGTGCAATATGGTCAATTTGGCCATTGAATTTTAATGAATTACACCTCTTAATGGTGTGTCATCTATATAGGTTTAGACTGACATGATTGTGCTGTCCTCTCTTTGCAAAAGCTCTTGAGGAGGACCGGTGTGTCTCCCCCACCCATACTGACAAACTGCAAACTGAGTGTGATCAAAAAGACGTAGAGCTCATGCAGTTGCGTGAGAAGTGCAAAGGACTGCAGGAGAGAATGGAGTCTGCAGAAGCAGATTTTCTCAATGCCATAACACTAAAGGACGAGCAGATGGATCAGCTTAAAGAGAGCCAGTTATTGCTCGAGGGAAAAGTCGAGAAACTCGTCAAGGACTTGTTGGAGCAGACGTGCGCTTGTGAGACTGCTAAGGCATCCCTGTGCGTGGAGCAGAAAGAGAAGGACAGACTTGCGGAAGAACATGAAGCTCTGGGCAAAGAGAAAGATGGGTGGCAGCAGGAATCTAAGAACATGGCTAAGAAGATCGATGCACTACAGCAAGAGCTTGATGAGGAAAAGAGGAGAGTGGAGACAGTCACCGAGGAGTTAAAGGCTGCTAAAGTGCTCCTGGTGGAGCGCAATAATGATTCTTGGGAGAAGGCAAAGACTATAGAGTCCCTAACCAAGGAAACTGATGCTCTTAAAAAGCAACTGGAAGAACAAGGAGCGCTCTCATCGAGTGGGAACTGTGACCATTTCCATGAAACGATGGCTGCCTTGCAGCAGGAGTGCGGGAAGGTGGTGAAGGAATCTGCTCAGAAAACCCAACAGATTGACGATCTGGAGCGGGACATCAACTCTTTGAGGAAGCAGGCATCTGAGCAGGAGCAAATCACTGGTCAACTGAATGAAGACCTGGTTGACCTTAGAAAAGCCCAGGGTGATCTGGCAGAGTTGGAAGCTGAAAGGAAAGCTGCTGCGGAAATGAAGAGAAGCCACGCCGAGCTGGAGGTGCGGGTAGCGGCCCTTGAGGGTCAGGTGGCGGAGCTGGAGGAGCAAGTGAAGGTGGCCGGAGCGAACGCCTCAAAAACAGCTGACCTGGAGAAGCAGCTTCTGGAGAAGGAGACCCAGATGGTGGCCCTACGCGCGACTTTGAGTGAACTCCAAGAAAAGCTTGCCGCCGTGGAGTCTGAGTGTCTACAGGAGGCCAGGCGCAAGGAGGCAGAGCGACGACGGGACCTGCTGAAAGCGGCGGAGGACGCCATCGCTGAGAAGGATGCTGAACTGGCCAGGAGGGCAGAGGAGCTCTCAAGGCAAGTGGCCATCTCGTGTTTAATGCCTGTCATCTGGAGTGTGGCGATTCCCAGTCTGTATACTACCTGTGTTGGTTCTTTGTTTTGTAGTGGAGTAGAGATGGTACCGAAATTACGATTCGCTCAATTCATTGTGAAAACCCTTCATCGGTCTGGTTGACAGCAAACATTTTATTTTGTTTGTTACAGGATAAAGGAGGAGATGATCAGCAGTTCAGATAAAGTCAAAAGCCTGATGCTTGAACTGCAAAGAAAAGAAGATGATGACCTTAAGGAAAAGCTAGCTGATTCCAAAAAGCAGATCCAGCAAGTGCAAAAGGAGGTTTGTGACCAACTGTTCTGCTTTTGCTTAGTCAGCATTAGCTTAATTGCAGATATTTGCTCAAACATATTCTTGCAGATGAGTTTATTTCTAGCCTTTGTTGGGTTTTTTTTGGTGTATATTTTTGATAGATTGAATATCTGCGTGAAGAGCAAACATCTCTCAAACGAAAGCTGAACGAATCGGAGAAAGCGAAAAGCCAGCTTCTGACAAATCTGAGCAGCAAAGACACCCTAATCCAGCAGTTGAAGAGCGTGAGTCCTGCTGGGTACATTTACAGCATCTGAAGGGCTTGTTTACTCGTATTACTTGCTGAAGCTTTGCTTACTGACTTTTAGGAACAGGCCAGTGATGCCAGATCCAAGGAAGATCTGCAGAGGTACCAGAAATCCTGTGATGGTAGGTGTGCAAACTCAAGTGAAAGTCTTTTTTATTGTCTTTATTTAGTATCCTTAGTATTGTGATGTGTGGGACACCTGAGAATTTCTCATTGGACATAGTGCAAGAAATGGTAATTATCAGAAATATGTAAGATGTTTAATCATGATATATGGATACATAAACACAAGACAGAAAAAAGTGAAAGATACAGTTTTTAAAAATGATTGTGCATGGTGTGTATTGAGTTGTCTCTGGACTTTAATACATACAGCATTAACGACACCGTTGCCTAGGTTCACGTTGACGGCCCCCTCGGTCGGCTCTGCTGAAACCAGCATCTGAAAATTAGCAGAAGGTCTTCCATTTACATGCATTTGTTTATCCGACTAGACCTTCGAGCCAAGGAGCAGATTATTGAAAACATGCGGCTTGCGTTAAAAGAACAAGAGGACACTCAGGAGGAGCAAGACCGAGTTCTGGAAGCTCAGCTGGAGGAAATAGATTCTTTAAATGAACGTGGGTATTTAAAAAAATATAAAAGTAATGCCTTGCTCTCTGTGACACGGAGGGGGAGGGGGGCAAAGTCATAATTTTAAGTTATATTGGGGGTTATTGTGAACAGATCTGAATATATATTATAATTATGATTACGGTTTTGTTTCTATGTATTTACTTCTGCGTACAATTTTTTAAAAATTATTATTATTTTTTACTAGAGCTACAGAAGCTGAAGGAAAACGTCCCGCCGGAGCGCAATGAAGGTGGAGAATCCGGCAATTCGGAAGAAAGCAGTTTAAGTCAATTTCTAGCTGCAAAACAAGAAATCGATCAACTCAAAGAGACGCTCGAGGTAAGTGCTATTACATCTATTTTCCTGTGGGGGCCGCTGTTTACCAATGAGCGTGTAGGACGCACTCCCTGTACCTCCGGCAGATATGTAAAATTACGTCCCAATAAAATCGAGCTGGCTCTTTATTAAAATAATTCGAAAAGCGGTGTACCTGGAGTAACCGGTGAACAAGAGAAGAGGGGGCTTTTAACTAGCATGCCACGGAAAACGCGATCTAAACCCGATGAATCAGGATCAGGGGAAACTACAGGCCAGACGGACCTGGCAAACCGGCATCACAAAGCCGATGATCAGATTAAAGAAAACAGCGCGGTTCTGGAAGCAATGACCTTACTACACTCAGAGCTAGCCCTCGTTAGGTCGGAAATATGCAACAAAATAGACGAGAAAATTAGGGATTTATCTGCTTCCTTAAGAGGGGAAATCGCCACCCTGAAAGCCGAGAATAAGGCAGCAGTTACGGCTCTTAAAGGCAAAATGGATTCCCAGAAACAAAGCTTGAAGGAGCTGGCTGACTCTGCTACGTGCACTTCGGGCTCCGCGGTAGAGCCGGAGAATAAGGTAAAACGCCTCCCGAGGCCAGTGGAGCTACTTTCAGTTGGTCGAAAAGGCAAACCTGTAGTTAAAAGACGGAACGGTGCAGAGATTTGGCTGCTCTGTTAAGAGTGGAGCCGCTAGGTCGGGCTGAATGCCCGTTAGATCATACGTGCAGAGCCCTTCGGGGAGAAGCCGAGACGCCAGGACGCCCGATTCTGCCGAAGCACCGCTGTCATGCGTTTGATTAACTGGAACAAGGCCACGAGCACCAAGAATCTGACTAGAATCAGTCATCTTCAAGGATAACCCCGTAGTTAAACGGCGGGCGGCTTTTACTCCTGCCTGGAATATCTTGCGAAATAAACCCGTCCTGCATCCGCCTTAACTGCGGGTCGCACCCAGTGATGCCGAGACTGTATTCCAGGGTCCCCCAGTTCAGGTCCTGGAGGACCCCTTTGCAACACAATAGATTTCCCTGTTCAGACTCACGTACTAAATCTGGTAATTAGCTGATTAAGGTGTGTTTGAGCAGGGATGTCTGCAGACTGTTTTGGATTCTGGCCTCCAGGACTGGAACAGGGAAACTCTTCTGTAATTCGCTGACCGGTATGCCGAGAAACACTTCGAACCGGGTAAATGAGGACTGCCTGTAAACTTGATATTTAACCTATGCAATGAAAAATCTAACATGGGGCTACATTGAGACTCTGTTGGACTCAAGGAAAAGCTGTGTTTTGGCTTTGGAAAGGCCATAAGGGTATTTGTCCAAGGTGTGTGACAAGTGATTAAGGCTGAGTACAAGGATGATGCTGAGAAAATCCTAGATCTCTAAACGTGGCTGATGTGCAGTCATAAGGGATGTGTCATACTTGATGGTTTCTCTCAAAAAATCCTTTCTCTTTTTAAGCTAATTTGGTTTTGATATTTGATAATAGTACTGGATCTGCTGTATTTGTAATTATAGAACCCAGAAGATGTTGGTATCAGTAGTTATTTGATTTTAAACTAAATTTGTTTGTAAACATATTCTGGGAATTCAGTCTAGGTGTAGATGTTTGTTTGACACCACATAAATTGTTGGCAATGCAGCAAAGTTGGAGAGTGACCAGGGCATTCTCAGAATTAATCGGAATTGGATGATGCCCTTACATTGTACAAAGCTATAAATAACTGATTTTGGCAGTTTTATAAGGCATTATACACATCAAAGATAAATGCAGTTCCTGTTAAAAGTCCAGGCGCAGATGGGGTAGGTAATGAGTTTACCAAGTCGTAAGGAAGTTTACCAAGTCGCTAGTTCCATATTTGCATAAGAAGTATAATTATACTTATCATAAAACAGGGCAAAGTTTTGTAAGCGATTGGGCCATACCGGCCCATTTCCCTTCTAAACACACATATAAAAAATTTAGCTAAAAGATTACAAACAAAATCATGGTGTCATCACAGGTTTAATTCCCGAAAGAAATTCATTTCACATGCTCAGGTGTCTTTTAAATACAATGAATTCTCCAGGAAATCCTGGAGGTCTTATTGAGTTTGGATGCAGAAAAGGCATTTGACCAAGTCGAATGGCCTGATCTTTAATACACTGCATTTGGAGCAAATCGGATATACCTTTGTTGATGGGCTTGAAGACTTTGAGGAAACTTGGCATGCAGGCATGCATTAACCTTCCATTTGGAGGGTGTGGTCAGTGTGAGTCATCAGCTGTAACGGCACTTAAGTGTGATGCGGAGCGTGGAGAATCAAATTATTTTTTATTTTCTTTAAATGAATGGAATGTTTGTTACTTGTATGCTTTTTGTAACTCCTTGTTGGTTGTCTTTGCATTTATTTTCCGTCTGTGTAATAAATGTCTTTAAATGTGGGTCATAAACATAAAGTTGTCCTCCGAAGAGGGGGGGTGGTGGTGGGTAAAAAAAATAAAATGTGGGTCCGGGGGTGCTTTGCAATAAAAATATGTGAAAATGTTTATTTCTGCTTCTGATGATTTGAGGCTCTTAGACCTTATTCGAAGTCCTCAATTTTAATGTTTGTATATATTCTTTAGAAATCGCTATATAATAGCAATACATAAGTTAAAAACTGTATATAGATATGATCTATCCCTCTGATCTCCAGCCTCTTACGCTCTACAAACCCCAGAGACCCTGACCAGAGTATGTCAGGCAGCATAGGGCACAAACCCCCACTACAGGCTTCCCTCACACATCAAAGGCCTGGCCATTGAGTCCCACATCTGCTCTGTGTGCATGCATGTTCTCCCTCTGACATATAGGCTTCCACAACTTTCTTGCAGTGGTGTGCTACTGAATGGTGACCTTTATATTTCGCCAGTGGAGGGCAGTGGGTCTCTGTCAGTATATTTTGCCAACCCGGGTGGGGACTGGAAGTTGTCACAATCAGCTGGTTGGCCGCCACTGGTGTATTCTGAAGAAATGCAGTTGTGCATCTCTATATTGGCAGTGCTGTATGACTGTAGCATCTCACCCAGGGTATACCCCAGTGGTCAACAGCCCTACTTCTGGAGATCTACCATCCCACAGATCTTAGGTGCAGCTCCAATTTACACCTGATGCAGATAATCAGGCCCTTCAGCAGCATCTCAATATTAGAGCCACCTAGCTTCAACATAGCTGGCTCCAACATAAGCTCTGCATGGTGATAGATCTTCAGGAGCACATTTGGGGACCACTGGTGTACACCAACCTGCAGGAGCTGTGCTGCATGCGATCGGATTCACGTCCCCCATCACCCTGACTAGGATGAGCTGAGGGAAGATGGATGGATAATTTAGTTTTTTTTAAAAATGATGCAGTAAACCAGGGGTCACCAACATGGTGCCCGTGGGCACCAGGATACCCCCAAGGACCACATGAGTCGCCCACGAACCTGTTCTAAAAATAGCACAACTCACCAGTGAGCAGCGTCTAAAATTTAATTTTATCCTGTTGCTGTTCTTTAATCACATTTGCATTTATATAGATTTGGAAATGACAAAAAAAAAAAAAAGAATTTAAAACATGAGTTTTAGTTAAGTTTAGGAGGGCATTTCAAACTGGTAGCGCTTCGTATGGCTCAGTATCCGAGAAGTAGCTCTGTTTCAAAAAGGTTTGTGACCCCTACAGTAAACGAATCAGCCATTATATGGATAGTAAAACAGTCAAGGGATTTGACTAATTGGTTCTCTGCAATAAGCCGTACAATTTCATGTTGAACCAAGGTGTGTAGGCGTCCGCTTCGCTTTCGCTCTTAACACAATCACCTGTGTATCTGGTAAACCTTGTATTCGAACTATATGCATTTTTCTACCAAAGAGACTATTTGGCCATAGGAGCTGAATTAGGAACGTATTTCAACCGTTCTCTGAAGGTAACTGGTAGTCTGAACGTATCTTTCAGCTCACTAAAGAGAAGTTACAGGCCGACAGGAAGACGTGGCATGAGGAGAAGATTATCCTGATCGGTCATGCAAAGGAGGCCGAGGAGAAGAGGATCCAGGAGATGAAGAAATTTGCAGAGGACCGTGAGCGCTACGCCAAGATGCAGACTGCAATGGTAACAGGCTCTTATCTTGTTCTACTGCAACACCTGCCCACACCTGTGTGTGTCTGTGACTTTAAGAGCTTTGATGTTGGAGGCAGAGATCAAAGCAGCTGCTACATGTGTTTCAGACTTAACTTAAGATCCAATTTTATGATTCTGACACAAGTCGTATGTTATACTTTGGTATGTTTGTAGGAGAAGCTCTCAAGGCAACTTTCTGACAAGGATGCCGACCTTGCGAAGTGGAGGAAGGAGCGGGACTCACTGGTCACAGCCCTGGAAGTTCAGCTGACAAAGCTTGCAGCTATCAATACAAAGAAAGACGAACAGATTACTGAGCTCTTAAAAAAATGCAGTCTTCTGCCACAAGAGGTCAGTATAGATTAGATATTGTAAGCCCACAACCCAATTACTTGATTTGTTACCGAGCCTATTTTAAAATATTAAACATTAAATTAAATGTTTAACAATTATGACATTCTCACATTATTTTAACACTATTTTTTCCCCCTCGATTGAACATTCTCAGCCACAGCTGATCTTTTTTATTATTATTTTTTTGATTGTCAGACCAACGACAAAATTGAAAGTCTTCAGCACATCTTATCGGTGAAAGAATCAGAAATCGCAGCATTAAGGGAACAACTGACTGTGGTTTCAAATAATGGCCAAGAAACGTCTCCTGTATCCAAGAGGCGCGGGGAGTTGAGAAAATCGGTGAGACCTCGTTATGTCAGTCATGGAACCGTGAAGGGCAGCAGCACCATTTGTTCTGTAATGATTGTGAACATGTATAAAAATGTGAATAATCATTAAGATTTATTTTCCTTCAGACTGGCAAAAATGAACCACCGGTTAGCAGTAATACTAGACAAAACATTAGGAGCTGTCAGGCTTCTGAGGAACAGGAGGTAAGTAACAGAATGATTAATGTGGGGAGTCGGAGCAGCTCGCTGTCTGTACCTGGGGTCCTGGCAGATGTCGAGGCACGCTGGCACTCTACCCGCCCCACACTCGCCATGTAACGTTGGCGCTGCCCCCCGGCAGGCATCCGTGCTGGACTCCTCTGAGATCTCCACGGAGAGCGGGAGGACGAGCCGCTTCCCCAAGCCCGAGCTGGAGATCCAGTTCACGCCGCTGCAGCCCAATAAGCTGAACCTCAGGAGGCAGGGCGGTGACTCGGTGACAGTCAAGATCACCAGGGCGGCCAGGAAGAGGAAGAGCACTGAAATGGACAAGGTATTCATTGCGGGTGTTGAGGTTTCCTTTTCTGGGTGTTTTTTTTTTTTATTTTATTTTTTTTTTACCTGTGGGATGGGCTAAATGAGTCCAAATTTCTCCAGTAAACCCATTTTCACACAGTGGCTGAGATGGTCAGAAGTCTGAAAACAAGGAGGGGTAGAAATGTCTTTCTCAGTGGTCCAGTGCAAGCTTGAAAATTGAAAGCATCATATGACCTCATTAAGCAGGCCTGTCCCCCAAGATTCGTTCCCACTCCTACCCCAGTTTTCCATTTTCACCTTTCTTTTATGACGTTGAGGGTTTTCACTTAACTGTAGGACAGAGTGCATAATCATCGTTTGCCTCAAAAAGGCATTCGTATACAATGTAGGTTCCCTAAAAGGGGCTGTCTGTGTAAAATGGTGTTTCAGGGAAATTATGTGCATTGTTCCTCCTCACTTTTGCCATCTTCATTTTCATATGAAAAGCACTAACTTAACAGAAGAAGACCTCCCTAAAGCACGCCGGTCTGGGGGAGTGCAGGTATTTAACATGAAATGAAATGAATGTCCCAGTTTTCCGCTTTCTCAGATCAAGAACAGCAGTTCTTTTGGGACTGCAAAATCTTAGCCAGGCAATCCTTAAGTAAATGATGGCCTATTGAGTCATATTTCCATTAGACGGTAATGTAAATTTGAAACTTGAGATGTAGTCTAACATTATGACATGGTACCAACTTTTTAAAAAAGAAAAAAAAATTTAAGCAGATCAGCATTCTTGCTCCTCCATCTGTAGACACCTAAAGCTCTTTCTTAATACACCATGAAATCTGTTTTATGAGCTAAACCACCTGGGGTGATAATGGTGACTCTTGGCGTCTTACGACGACTCTAAAGATATATCTTACGAAAGGTATTTGTTTTCCTATTCGTCTTTCACAAACGACCTAAGAGATCGCTTAAGGGAGAGCTTAAGTGCAACCTTAATAGATACCAAAACACCTGATTGGTTGCCATCGATGGCTCGAGAATTGATTATTCTCTCCATGCAGCAACTGCTTCACTGCATCATAACCTAAAAATACAATACAAAATTTAATAAATTGAATCATGTAATCGTAAATATTTTATCCATTTGGGTGCACAAATCCTTCTCCCTAGATTGTAGTATCAACATTTTATTTTTATTTGTTCTGTAAAACACCTGCATGCACCAATATGTTTGCAGGTCATTGATTATAGGGACAAGCAATATCCACTCTTCATGTTGCGTGTCCACTCTTCGTACGCGTACACGGAAACCTGCATACTTCTGTGGTCAAGCTGCGTTCTTAGCACAGCTGGCTGGCGTGAGATTTTCAATTCGAGACGAGTCTGCGCACACACACACGTAGTTACATTTATGTATCAGTTTTATTACCTTTATAAATAGTCTGTAGGGTTTGCAAACTATCCCAATGCTCGTCAAGAGCATCCCTGTTGGTATTTAAAGTGGATGCTATCAAATCGATTATGTGCAGTGTCCATATTTGTGCATATACGGCTGCACGGACACAAATTTGGAGTGCAGCAGGCGTTCGTCCACTGAGGCACACGGTGACGTCAAACATGACATAAATTTTCGACCGTATGGAGAAGTATGAACCATCCTTTAACATAATATAATGTCCTATGTGTTTCAATATTGAGTAAAAAGGACGATTCCAGAGTGTTGTAGTCTTGTATCAGGCAAAATCATTTATCATATGGATCAGTTATTTTTTAGTTAAGTGATGTTAGGTTATGAATCTTGTACACATAACGATGTTAGTCTTATTTTAAATGAGCAGTGAGAGGCGACAAGATAGCTAGTCTCAGCCCAATTTTCCGAAAGAATATGTTGCTCAAGACATACTTACCCCAGCAACCCATGACTCTACACTTTTAACACCTAATTAGAGGGAGTAACGCTAAATGGGGGAGTAGGGGGTAAATCCTGGGACACATGAGAGGGCTTACTGTGAGCCTTTGTCATTCCTATAGGATGTGGTGGACAGTGAAAACAAGAAGAATAACATGAGAATCACTAGGATGAACAAGGACTATGAGAAGGTTGAGATTTTTTTTTTTTGGCAAATGAATGTTTTAGTATCTGTCAGTTGGTCTTAAGGTATTCAGTTATTCTAGTACAGATATTATGTGTACATTCTGAACGACCGGCATGTTTTGAAGTATGGAGAAAAATGCATAGAGACTTGAAAGCTTAATTACAAGGTTGGTTGACTATAATTTCTGGTTTGTTTTAATTAGTCTCTGTCTATTCCCAAGAAATCACCAGCTGCATTCAGCAGAAACACACACACGAAACGAGATGAGTCCCAATCAACTCTGAGGAACAGGAAAGATGGGGCTTTGCAGAAGATCGGAGACTTCCTGCAGAGTTCCCCAAATCTGCTTGGGAGCAAAGGTACGACCGCTGGAGACTGATGAGGGTTGACGGCAAGGAGTTCCTTCCTTCTGCTGTACTGAGGTTTGCCCTTTTTTAATAGCTAAAAAGATCATGGAGCTTGTGCAGTCGAAATCACCTGAACCGGAGGGTGACTCAACAATTGGCCTGAAGCCAAAGAAGTCAAAACGAAAACTTTATAAAACTGAAATCTCATCTCCCCTTGACATCCCATCCAACCCAGTAAGTGTGTGGAGTGTGATCTGTCGTCGTGTCTCCTGAATAAATAATTGGAGTGGGTGGATAGTGCTCATTCATTGTCTAATCCTTAATATTCTCTTATAGATCATTCTTCCTGATGAAGAGAAAGAGAGTGATCATATTATTATCAAAAGAAGACTCAGGACCAGAACAGGCAAGAAATATTGACCAGGCTATCGATTACTCGATACTTGTTTAAAATTGTAATTTCTTATGTATTAACAAGTAGATCCTGTGTTGCTGAGAACTTTGCACTCTGACTTAAACCTAGAGACCATTTCTTGGAGAGATTTCTACGGTTATGAAAGTACAATGACAGGCAAAGTCTTTAAAAAAAACAAGCTATTCCTTTGTCATGTGACATTTTTGAGTTTGTCTTGTCTGGAACAAATTTTCATAGTTGTAGCATAAATCATTTGATGTTAATTTGCCATTTTATATTATTTTATTTAATTTTTAAGAAAATATATGTACATTTTTCAAATGTTTTCACATCCATGCTGTAATCGTTGATTGTATTATTTGTATGCGTTGTATGTGGGCTGCTGTAAGTTCTGTGTATTGAGGCTCGGCAGAATGAAGAGATGTGAACAAGTAACACGTTTCCCCCTCTTTCATCTCAATTTGAACAAACTTTGTGTTTCGATTCCAGATCAGGAAGCTTTATGCTGTGGTGTCTGGTGAACATGTATGTCTGTGTATTTTGTTGATCAGGTTTCGTAGAATATGTCCTACAACAAGGAATCCAGAGTCGTTATTTTCTCGGGGTTCCCGAGACCTTCGCTGGTGTTTTCAATAAAGCAGCGAGTGTTATCTCTGACGCCATGAGTCAGTCAATATTCATTCGGCTTCACCCACGCTCCAGTAATAAAAAATCTGCTGTAATGCGCCCAAGTATCTTTTAATGTAAATAAATCTCTGCAGCATTAATTAAACATTCGCAGACACGTGACTATACAGCAGTCTCGCGGGTCGTATAAATCCATATGGGAAATGGAGCCAAAAGCAGTGAGTGGAGATGTTTGTACTGCACCTTTGTGGCAGAGAGGAAAACATCATGACCATTTATCTGTAACGCCGGCAGGAAGGTGGCTCCAGAGAGCAGGGTCAATTAATGCGTTTTGCCATGCGACCAGGCTGCCCTTTGCATCCCCTAATTCCCGGGTGCAGACTTGCTGCCGTGACATCTGTATGCTGTGTGTTCAGCGGATCTACATTTAGTGCTCGCCTGATATAACTGATGGAATAAATGGCTGATTGTTAGAAGATTGTTGTGAGATATCACAGGGAACCATTCCGCGGATAAACAGATCCTGCAAGTGCGACAGCTATACAACTGCGGACAGAATTAAGAGACCACAGCACAATTTTTTCTTTTTTTTTCCCCACCCATTTTGCAATTTTAGGGTGTGCGTCTGTGAATAATGTTTTGTTTTGCAAACTGCAGCCTGATTCTTCTCTGCTTCTCATTAATGAAGGGCTGCTGCTTTGCTTTATGGAACCTCAGTCCTGCTTCTAGGAGTCTGATATGAACTGTCCTAGCAGTGCACGTCACACCTGCACTTAATGTTTCCCATTCCCTTTGAAGGTCACTTGATGTCATCCTCCGATTCATGAGAAACTGTCTGATAAGTTAATGGTGATGTCTGACACGAGAAAGTCGTTTCTGCGCTTTATCTGGCTGGTTTCTGGTCATGTCCAGTGTCTCCTGCTTCAGCTTGTTCTTGTGTACTGCTGACTTAGAAATGTTCAACCTGTAAGCATCCTGCTGCTCAGTGTAGCCTCCTGCCAGCAGAATCAGGATTAAACCAGGATTTAATAATGCAGATTTGTTTAAAAATCCAGTGGTCTGTTTTTGCGACGGTTTCCCTTGTCATTACGCAAATATAGAATAAGCAATAGATAATATAGTGATTCGTATATGCGTTATTTAATGGCCATTTTGTAATGGTTGCGGTTAACTGATAAATTGTAATTCTAATTAAAATTTTTATTTCCATGCAGATTGCTGTCCTGTTATTGAATGTAGGCTTTTTGTGTTTGTTTTAAGTACCGTATTGGCCCGAATATAAAATGTTAGTATTTTTTTTCCCTCCAAAACATATCTAAAAAAACTGGGGTTGTCTTCTATTCGAGGACTTAAAATTAAATGTTGTTATACATAAATCAGTAGATGGAGTAAATTATCCGCCTCCTTGCTACAGGTGGCTACATTCTTCAAACATGATGTCATTTTAGCAATACATTGTCGTATGAGAGGTGACCCCACCCGCTTTCCGTGATTGGCTGACATAATGTGACGCTACTTTGCGCGCACCCTATGTGTAATTAACTGGTGTAATGTGATGTGTATTTGTGTGTTAAGTATAAATGTAACCTTGTAATGTTTGTTGTGGGATGCTGCTTGCATTTCGTTACTATTTAACCGTGAGTATTGTGTAAATTGTTGATTTCCCTGTCTGTGCCGCTGCTAGAATTAAGCCAATAGGGGCTATCAATAAAGAGAGTAACTTTCATTTGAAAAGAGCTGTCACCTCACTTATAAAACTAATTCAAACACTCACTGCAGCAAGTTTTTTTGCGCTCTTCGTGTAGGTCTGCTGCATCGTAAATGTCCTGCGCCCCCCCCCCCCCCCCATAATACATTTGTTTAATGTAACGTTTGCTTTTCAATACACTTATTGCGATTGCCTGTAGTTGCTTTTTAACAGTGATATGGTTAACTTCCTATATGTTCTTGTCAAATAAAGTTTTCTTTTTAAAGATAAAATTTGATATTTCAAACGCGTTTTTTTCCAATCACAGTAGCCGAAAAAGTGCGTGCAGGAGGAGGCCAGTCGTCTTATCGGGATCGCCTAATATTCGGGGTTGCACTGTTTCGGTTCGGTTGGTATTTGAATTTTATATGTAAATTCTTTTATTGGTGTGTGCCGAATTCTGAAAATCTGGTAAAGCATAATGGAGTCGGCGTGGAGACACAGGCTAAAGCTATCCTCACAGTTTGATACATAAATTTCCCCCTCTCTGAAAATATTTGTCCTGTGGAGTTTTACATCAAGTCTAGGAAGACATTTCGTTAACTGTTGCAGTTATGAATGAGTAAGATAAGACTGTACCTTGTACAGACGTACTTCTAGCATTCTAAAAGTTGTCTGCAAAAACAAATGTATATGTGCAAAATATACAGTTAGCATATAGATCTCTAGTAGTTTTGCGTTCTCCCAACCGAATGTCACACTTTTATCTTGAAATGAGACAGGGTTCCCGCGGGGTCTTAAAAAGTGTAAAATTCAGGAAGTTAAATTTAAGGCCTTCAAATGTCTTAAAAGTGCCCAGATTTTCATCCTAAGTCTTAAATTAATTTACCCAAGTCTTAAAATTCTTACCTCCGTTCATTCCCAAAAAGCGTTGTCCGCAGAAAATAAAATAGTAAAACGGTGTAAAACTAATCCGTTGGTTGTATTTTCTGGTCTGCACCGGTGTCTGCGTGGTAATAAAACTACAAATCCCATTGCATGATCACTGCAGCTAGGCAAACAAACAGTTTGAGAAGGGTCTGGCTACAGAACGTGCACTTTCAGCCACTGACGTCAGGTGCACGCTCAGCCGCAACAGGAAGTGCAGGGGAATCAAGCGCTAACTTAGTTCTTGAGGTCAATGTGAACGGTATGTTGTTTTTTTATTTGTATTACTGAATGATATAGTTACTAGTTTATTTCATGCCATACATTATTGCAATGTAAATGTTTTGATGTAGTGCGTTAGTAACTTTTTTCTCTGACTGGTGTGGTTTTTCAGCTAAAAGGCAACTACTAGCCAGTTGGCTCACGTTATCTTATCATAAAATAAACACATTTCTACTTTTACAGAGCTTTTCATGGAGTTACCTTGTGAATGTCTTAGTTTCCAGCATATAGTTTTTAGTTGTTCGTATGGTCTTGAGGAGAACGTTTCTCGGTCTCCTTATCATGGTACGGCAAGTTTTTATTATCATACACAGGGGTTATTTAATGTGCTTTATAAAAACAAGATTTTAAAAAGTTAAACCAAGACAAAAAAGCAAAATAGAGATGAAAAAAATAATTTCAATAAAAATTGCTTAGAAAATCTAAAAAATCTGATTAAAAGTGCAGTATGTTATGCCTCGCTCGTCCGCTCCTCCCGTGTGCCATGCCCCCTCGTTAACCCCGTGTTTATCAGCTGTTTCCAGTTGTTTTCATTATCACTGATGGGTCTGGAATGTAACTTCCGCGATAGGCGGGGGATCACTATATATTTTAAGGCTTAAACTATAAAAAAGTTTATGTATATGGTCTTTCTATATCGCGGATTTTCACCTATGGCTTATGGGTCTGGATCCCCCGCCTATCGCAGAAGTTACGTTCCAGACCCATCAGCGATAGTTGAAAATCCGCGATATAGAAAGACCAACTTTTTTTTTTTTTTTATAGTTTAAGCCTTAAAATACCACTCCCACATGTTTTAAACACATGTGAACTTATTAAAACGCACTTTGTAAACACATATGATATGTGGATGTTGGGCTAAGGATATGAGTGACATAAAATATGAGAATTTCTGGTATTATTCGAATGTTTCTGTAATGCATTGTGTTGGTCTTAAATTTTACTCATAATGGTCTTAAAAGGTCTTAAATTTAACTTACTGAAACATGCAAGAACCCTGTGAGATTACTTCGAGATTAGAACCTTTTAATCTCAGGATTTGTATTGATTATGTTTGTCGTGAAGGGTTTCTGACTCTCTTGGTGACTCATTCAGAAAAAAATATGTACTGGCTTAAAATAGCTATTTAGTTCAACTAACAAATAATGAGATTTTTTTCCCTCCGGATTTAATATAATGTGTCTGATTTTGCAGCGAGCCACAGTTAAACACCAGTAATATTCGCCTGTCATGTTGGCCGGAGAGTGTAATCTACATTTTACATTTGAGATGGCTGGTTCCTACAGAAAATACAATTCTTTTTCTGTCTTTTTTTGTCAGGTTTACCATTAATAATATGCAAGACAGAAATAGCTCAGATAAAGTTATTGATAAAGGACGTTTTTGTCTGTTTTGGCTATGGTGATGTTACATTTCTTTTGACAAAAATATTTCAAACTGGGAGTGGGTATTTAAATGTCAAAACTATTAATGATTATACACTTTTCATTTCTTGTTCACTTTTCTTTTGCTGAAGGAAAATAACGTTAGTTGCTAAGCAGCCAAAGCTTTAACTGAATTTGATATGAATAAAAGAGTATAGGTTTGCATAAGCCCATTGTTGTTCAATCTTTTGTCAAATCCTCAGTTCCTAAGTGCTGTGAAAGCATAAAGGGAAATGAGCTTTGGCTAAGAGGTAATTTTCGGAGCCGTTTTTGTAGCCTTTATTCGCTTGGACTCTCACTGACGCAAGAGACTCTCACTGTACTGTGCGAGAGGCCCACAGATCCACACACAGCTGGGCCGTTCATTGCTGACTCTTACAATCAAGGGAACATGGTTCACATTTGTCAGGGTTTCAAACCTGAGCTACTCTTGAAATTTTTGAGACACATTTAAACACACATCACAAGTGAATATTTCATTTGAAAAACCAAATATGAAGTTTGGGTCTGAACTCTGATGGCCTGTTTTTTTTTTTAATATAGCTCAGTGGGTTCAACACAAGTGTTTGGGCACTAGGCCTTCATCAGTGTGTTTTAAAATCTGCTATCTGAGCCGTATTCGTGCTTTGTAGTAAAACATAAAATACTACTATTTTAATGGATCCGGATTTTTCCAGAGCACTCCTCCTGATCCTCCTGCCCAGGTATGT